TTCCAGGTCCATTCATGATCGGCGGTCGAAGTGATGTTCCCGCAGCGAGGATGTTTCGCGCTGCTAAGATGTCGCTCTGCCTAGAGCGACTTGCATCGCGCGATGCAATCGCAGAGTCTGACCGACATCTAAATGCGAAAAAGCCGCATTCTGTCCACGCGAATCACACCCCGCGCCTTTTTTGTTTAGACCTACTTCTGCTACTACAACTTTCTAAATTTGAACACATTGAACATCGTCGAAAACATTTTGTCGCACCCGAGTTTTGCATATTCAGAGCTCTGCGGATGTTCGATTAGGTGATCGCGTCGCAAATTGTGTCATTCCTGTACGGCAAAAAAGGCAAAGCAAAAAAGCAAATTGCGCGATCTCGTAAACGTGCTAAAAAGTGTACTGCCCTCAGTTCTTTCCGGGTGGAATTATAATTTGCAGTCCGGCTTGCACCTAGAGTGTGGGAGACATACGTATCGATCGTGCGGCTGCGAGTTCCGTGCGATTGCACAATCGATACCTATCTGTTCCACTTTCGAATGTGAGGTATGTTTCAAGCGTTTCACCTGAACAGACTCGTGTCCACTGTGACCTGGCACGCTCCAGTTTTTGCCTTATGTCTAGTGGCTTACCCATTTCCTACTCGCTGGTCCCTAGATTTCCTCATTTCAAGAATTTTCTTGCTAGCAATGTTCAAAGCTGAGACCGCAGCAGTCTTTTTCACGTCTGCGCCCTAGTCTTTTGCAAAAGGGAACATGAAGGAAGGTAAAGTGATTACGTAACCACTCTAGAAAGGAGTTTAAGGTTCTAAGGTCATATTCGTAAATATTCTGAACACTACATGTTGTATTGAATGATGTAATGAAAAGTTGCAGTAGCGAGAGTGCAGTTGCTCCAGGTAAATGACTGAAACGTTGCGGTAATGATAATTCTTTAGCAAATTTGAAGCTTCACACGATGATAATAGTATCACGGCTGGCGAATTATCTCCGTTACAGAAATGTGCTCATCACCACCAATTCTTACAGAAATAAAGTAGTGACCCTCTTTCTATGTATTCCTTTAAAAATTTCTCTATTTCTTAAATTCTACCTTCTTATCACCGAACTTTTTAACCGTCTTTGTAGGGAATGGAAACATTGCTTTGAGTCCATATCTGTTGTATGTTGCAAAAATGCAATGAATGTAGGAGACGCGTTGAGAGAACTCGACACTCGAGGATTACTAGCAGGTATCTTATTTACACTTGCTGATGTTTTTGTCATACAACAAAGAATATTGTTGGTTTCTCCAGCAAGCATTTCGCGTTTTGACTAGAAATAATTAAGGGGATTTTTTGCTGGTTTCAAATCCAGCCACAATCACCTCGTCCACATTGCAAGCTCAAATAGCTGCTTTTCGGTGAATCAATTTTGGAAATTCCATCACATTTGTCAGTTTGTCAAAGATTTTTCATGGACTGCTGTTTTCTAGAGAACGTCGTGCTGAAAACAAGAACAATGTGATGACATTGATTTATTCTGATTTGAAAGCAGCGAAAAATGCTGTGGTTGCCGTTGAAAAGTTAACGAAAAAGTTGAAGGCGTACCATAGACAAGAAGATCCCACGCAATTGGATATTGATAAGGTGAAAGGCATTTTGTTGTTCTAGATCGAAAATGCAAATTCTGCAAAATGTTTTTTTGGGCTAACTTAGTTGGGGGGGGGGCCACGCGGCGGCGCGGCAGTCTGCTCGCCTGGCATGTTACTTCGGAAATCCGTGAGCCAGGGGGAGTGTAGGCAGTCTAGGGGGTGGGGGGGGGGCAGTCACTTGACATGCGTGAAAAGCTGGAATGTTCGAGTTTACACTGTCTCGCTCGAGAGAGCGCCAGGCGAGCAAAGCGCCGCGCCGCCGCGTGGTCCCCCCCAACTAAGTTAGCACCGTTTTTTCTTCACTTCTAACTATTTTCGGGTCTGTGGTTTTTTTTTCGTTAGTATTACTCCAATTGCAATTTCATGCAGGCGTTTTTCATTGGAGATGCTATGATACGTCAAGATATCGTCGATAGTGGCATCGCGCTATGCTCACTGAACATATCTACGCAGTTCAGCGACAATTTCGATTTTCAACATCGAGACGACGTGATAAGAGAAATACTTGTAAATGAAGAGATTCTGCTCCAAAATGTTCACGTGGAAGTGCTCCCCTCCTACGAGGCAGCACTTTGTGTTACGTATGTCTTACTCATAATTGCGCATGTACTAGTGGGTGCTCTCACGAGCAGTCATCATGGTTCATCAAGAGTAGTTCTGTTCGGTCATGGTTTATATTAACTCAAATATTTTTCAGAGACTACGATACCTTGTTATTAGTAAACACTCTTATCATGGAAAGATGGTTTTACCCTTTAGTGTTGGACAAAAAGGTGTGACACTTTCAGGATTTGGTTCACTTTGAAGTTTTTTGAACCATTCTGTTTTATAGGTTTCTGTACAAAGTTGCATTTTCAATGCACTGCAGGGGAACGTCTATGTAAAGGTCAATAAATCGGACGCCGGGAAGCTGGCACCGTCTGTAAGGTCAGTCAAGTTAATTCTCTAGATTGATGACTCAATAATTCTCTGCAATTCAACACGAATTGGAGGTTATGGTTCTAGTGTTTCCAAGCATGCATTTGATGTCACGCTTGGTCTCGGATGTGATATTGACGATACTGTTGTTTTGAGATGTGCAACAATAGGGAGCGGCACTAAAATTGGTGAGTATAGCTCAATTGAGAGGCCTATCGTCTTCACCCTCCGTTTCGTACTTATAAGAAATTCTGTAGTTTACTGATCTTTTGAGTTCAAATACTTTTTCCTCATCTCCAGAATATTTTGCTGTGGAATACTCGGCGGTGGACTTAGAGGTGAAACTTGTGATAAGCCGACGCTTTGAATGTGTATAGAGGTGTGAAATGGTGCGTCTATGAAAAAAAAACGTAAAGTGGGTAAAAGCCGAAAAACGACACTTCTAGCTTCGGTGGCCGTTGTAAAGCTGTATAGTCACACAATGAGTAGTCATTTCGTGTGTTAATAATTTGTGCTCGGTAATACTAGGTAGAAAAGGAAGTCCTGCAACATTCTTGATTTTATTTTCCTATTATTTCCTATCAATGAATTCTGCTCAGTGGTGTACCCACCATGCGTGCCGACTGCTTGTCTGCAACGCTCAGAAACGTTCTCGATTCTCCTTTCCAAAACGTGGCCGAGCAAGTGAAAAAGCAGGCAACTTTGCTCTGTAATTGAATTCCATTATATGGTTATTTCTCATGAGGGTGATGACTGAATGTTCGGGATAAAAGGGAACGATTCAGGTCCTGACCAGGGGATTATGACATGTGAGGTAAGACATCTTGTCTCAGCTTCAGAATTTCTTATGGTTTAATTTCGGAACGTGGTGGTTCGCAATGTGGAAATGGTCAGTGTCCCGCATGACAACTTATATAGTTCTGCAGCGTAGACCCCAACCTCCTCATTGAAGCCCACATCGAAGAATGTGCAGTCGAGCTTCCCTGACCGCCCTGCCTGTTGTGGAAAGTGCGATTCGCTGATAGCATCTTAAAGAAATATTGAAAAGATCGAATGCGCTGGCACAGGTGAGACATGCTGTATTGGTGAAAGATACACTAAAACTTTTGCAGAAGTTGATTTTGACTTGTTTTTGTTTGTTAACTGCTGTTTTTGGCCGCAGTTCGCCTTGCGAATGTTTCACAAGAATGCTGGGTTGTGAACAAAACTTTCGCCCCAGGCGGGACTAGAACCCGCACCTCTCGCTTTCCGGGCAAGTGCGCTACCAGTTACGCTACCGGGGCACCATTTCATTCCAACTCAGCTTTTCATGGTATACTTACCATAGCTTTCAGCACTCACACGTATAACGTGTTGAGCCGGTTAGCCGATATCGGCAATGACCGCGAGGCTGAAAGCTTTAGCAATGATTTTGACTTGTTTTTGTTGTTAACTGCTGTTTTTGCCGATGTCGGCTAACCGGCTCAACACGTTATACGTGTGAGTGCTGACAAGCTATGGTACGTATACCATGAAAAGCTGAGTTGGAATGAAATGGTGCCCCGGTAGCGTAACTGGTAGCGCACTTGCCCGGAAAGCGAGAGGTGCGGGTTCGAGTCCCGTCTGGGGCGAAAGTTTTGTTCACAACCCAGCATTCTTGTGAAATATTGCAGAAGTGTTGGAGGAAATGAATTCATAGTTACGGAGATATGTATTAGACCGTGCTCTGATTGCACAGGGACTAGTGGTCGGAGTTTTCGGACTTTTTTGGATAACTTCTGATTGGAGCTTCTATATACTACTTCCAGTGATAAAAGCCTCGACATGACTCACCATTAGCAGCCCGTAAATGTTCCATGCGAGTTTTAATAGAGGAAAATTTGAAAAAAGAAGTGTTGCAGGAATTTTTTTCCAACCTAACAATAAATGTACACAACAATAATATTAGGTTGTCCGGAAAGTGATGCGGGTTTCGATGTGTTATATTTTTTCGTTAGACATCTTTGCGAGGACTTTCTTTGATCGTTGCACAGTTCAAAAGAACATTTCGTACTCTTTCTTGTTTTGAGAGGCGGCTTGGGCCTCACTTTTTTAAAATGTTTGGATCGAAGACGTCAGAGCAGTGGTTTGAGCAAATTCACTTCTATGAGTTGAAATTCGGAGAGAGTGCTGTGCAGACAGCTCGGAATAGGATTGTTATGTGGTGCGGTATGGTCACTAGGTCGGTCCGGCCATTGACAACGTGGTGTCGTCACTGCATTCGTTTTGAGATGATGGCTGCTTCCCTTATCTGCTGAACGATGCTCTGAATGAAGTTGCGAAAGTTTTCTGTTCAACACTGTGTTTTGATGCTATGTTCGAGTGCTATCGCACGGAGCCGCCTTCATAAAACAAGCGAGGAAGAGAGTCATGCAAGCACTGGTGTAGGTGGTAATGCTCTAGGCGGGTAGGCATGAGGTATCGGGTCCTGGTGGTGAGCGCTCTTTTGCTTTTTTCGATAATATGAGTGAAAAAAGGCTTTTCGCGACACGTTATTTCGTCATTGCCTGCCTTTCCCAGCCTGTGTAAAGAGTTTGCGAGCGCCTGGTTGCAGGTAAGACACGATTTCTCCATGCTTGAACACGACGCTTATAGCTCCCTAATCAGGCGTTTTTGCGCAAAACGAGTATGATTTTCGTGCTCAGGGGATAAAACTCACTCGGGAACAAGCTTCTAACTATTATATATCTGAGATTTTGACATATCTCGAGAGAGGGCAGTCACCGAAGTCAGCCAAGCGCGAAGGGAGGAATCGAAAACGAACTGGCAAAAGCACCACCCTTAAACTGAGATGCAGAGCCATGTAAATCATTCCCCTCATTCGCAAACTTAAATCAGTTGAACGTTTTGCTCGGAATTTTGGTTGAAGGGGCGATTTCCATCCCAAGGGTTCAACGATAAATTGATGATACGGTGGTTGATGATGGCTCACCTCGCCTAATTTCAATAGTTTGGGTCAAAATCCCAGATTTGGTAGGAAGCTTGTCTTTAGGGGTAGTTTGACCCGCTGAACGCGAACGTCATGTCTGTTCGCCGAGAAAAGCATGACACATGCACTACGGGCAAG